GCATGATAGAAATAACAACATTGCTCTAATGAGGCCTTAAACTGTTGTTTTTTAAAAACATAAAAATGAAATCCAAGCTTCCGCCGATCAACGGCATCATCAGGGCATCATCCATCACTACTAAGGGAAAGAGTAGCACACTCTTGGTAACTCTTATCAAGTGTTATTTCACAAGTGGGTCCAGTTTCGCCGATTTATTACGGCAGCCGCAGCAGCGGCGGGAATTGTAGTGTACAGTAAACCAGATGTTGAGCACTTAAATGAATCCCATGGAGGATTTGGGGCCCATGATCAGAATCAGCAATATTCAATCAGCCACTTAAAGTCCCCGCTGACTTACCGTATTTATTTGATTAACCGCCCTGGGCGCTTATTAACTTTTTGGACCTTGAGAGTGGGCGCTTATTCGAGGCTGGGCGCTTATAACATTTTCACCCTTTTCGACAAGTGTAGTGTGTATATTTTGCAACAAAACAGCAAATGGTAATAACAAAACGCGAAGATGTAACAATGCAAGGTTTCTGCAAAACACTCTGAAAAAAACTCCGTCTTCGGGGAAGTCTCTTATTAGTTCTTATTCCTTTTTTGGGGTGGTAGGGGGAAGTGGGTGGGCGCTTATTTGAGTTTGAGTGGGAGTGGGAGGGGTGGGGTGGGGATGGGCGCTTATTCGAGGCTGGGTGCTTATTCGAGGTGGGCGCTAATTCCAGGTTGGGCGCCTATTTGAATAAATACGGTAATTCTTTGTCCTTGCAGATGGTACAGAAGAATCACGAGAATTTGAAGTGAGTGATGAATCTCCCGTCACTGATGTGCTAAGTGAAGTAACAGGCAGAGACAGTAACAAGGAAGAAATGTTCGACACTATGCGACCCTATAGGGATAAAGATGACAGGGAGGAAAGACGACCAGGTAACTAAAGTATCCAACAGTAATTCCTGGCAAATTGTTGGTTTGCACTTGACGTCACGGCGGCTATTTTGGTACGCAAGAACAAAAACGTTTCTTCCCTCTGAGAATTAAACTCCATTTTCACGTGAATTCTTTGAGAAAAATTCCATTCTATTGAGAACCAATATATCCGCCTTGTCACGTAGATGTAAACCAAGAATAGATAATTTTGCCTCACGTGGTCGGCAGCTTGGTAAATTTCATAAAACAAAAAAGTTTTTACATGAGAAAAAAGTTCAATTCGCACAGGATTTTCCTGTACACCAACATGGCCGCAGTTTTATTATTTTGTACACCAATATGACCGCCTTAACGTGATGCCACTCCAGATAGAACCTTTTTCTTCCTGGATATTCTAACCAACCCCATAATTTCAGAAAGTTATTTGTGACGTCATCACTTCTTTTCTCTATTGCCCATGCACCTGTTTCATCCCACAGAGCACAGAGATACCAATGTTTTCCTCTACACCAGTGTAGTTACTAATAATTAATTCATATTTCTTGATGTCGTTCTCGTTTCAATACCCAACCAGCAGCTACGACCTTTATAGGAAAAGAGATAAACAAGCAAAAGAATAAAGGATTACTAGCAGCCGCTGTACAGAGTGAGGACGACAAACAAACGGAATACCCCTCTGATGACTCCGTTGCAGAAGGTGAGCTGCCTTCAACAGTAACTAAGCAAACGCACTAACACTCTCCGCATAGTTACGCCCAGTATAACGAAAATATCACTTTTAAAAATTTCTTTCCAAACCGACACTTGATAGTTAAAAATTGAGGCATTGCCATGACAGCCTTCAAAAAGTCTAGATGATGATAATTGGGCTGACAAAAATGAGATGACAACAAATATCAGCATAACCCCCCTCGATGGGCCACTAGCAATCGTGTGGACAGATTACGGGCACGGGAACGAGGAAGACAGACTGACCGATGAAAATTTGTTAGTCTACAGATAAATTTAATAGAGCGACAAAAAAATCAAAACCAACTTCGCCCCTTATTGCTGTCTTTAAAGGTTATGTCTATGCCGTACCGGATAGCTCATAGTGCCAACATGAAAAGAGTTCCGGGACAGTATGAACGGTAACAAGCCGTTCACACGAAATAAGACGCGTCTTTCATTAGACGTGTCCTAAATAAGACGCAAACTATCCCGCATAAAGAGAAACAAAAATAGAGCCTGATCTCAGGTTACGTACAGTACTACAATATGTAACAGAACTTCAGTGTTTCCTTGTAAACGGGTTGCCCGGTTCAAACAATTGTGCAACTTGTTTTGCAACATTATTGCTGGAAAACGAGTTGGAAAGCGAAGTTGCACGGTTTACCACCCAGGAAAAAAAGCTTGCAGTATTATTTTTTGCAAGACAGGTTAGAACGTTGGTGGTGAGACGCGCAACATTGCTATTCAGCTCGTTTTGCAGCAACGTTGCAATCCAGGTTGCATGTTTTTTGTTGCCCATTTGACTGTAGCTTGAGACATTTGTTTTCCCTGCATGTGCACGTTATTAACCAAAGATGGCTCACGAAAATCTCTTGAGATTTACATAGCTGAGGAACCAGCGGATCAACAGAAGAGACATAAAGATAACAGAAAAACGCAAGCTAGTTACAAAACTAACAATGCAACGGCTAAAAAGAACGATAGTAACGCCAATGGGACTGGAATTTACCGCAGTAACACTCC